CACAACCTCTCCAGCATAAGTTGTCATCAGTGTTTTTGATATAGGCCATTCTTAAAGGTGTAAGATGGAATCTCAGAGTTTTTTTTTTTTGATTTGCATTTCTCTGATGACTAAGGATGTTGAACATTTCCTAAAGTGTCTTTCAGCCATTTTAGATTCCTCTGCTGAGAGTTCTCTGTTTAGGTCAGTACTCCATTTTTTATTGGAATTTTTATTGTTTTGATGACCAATTTCTTAAGTACTTCATATATTTTGGAGATCAGTCCTCTGTCCTATGTGGGGTTGGTGAATACCTTTTCCCATTCTGTAGGCTGTCTTTTTGTCTTATTGACCATGTCCTTTGCTTTTCAGTTTCAGGAGGTCACATTTATTAATTGGTTCTCTCAGTGTCTGTGCTTTTAGGCTTATATTTAGGAACTGGTCTACTATGCCAATGTGTTCAAGTGTAACTCCCACTTTCTCTCCTATGAGGTTCACTGTGGCTAGCTTTATGTTGAGGTCTTTGATCTCTTTGGACTTGAGTTTTGTGCATGGTGATAGATATGGATCTATTTTCATTCTTCTGCATGTTGATATCCAGTTATGCCAGTACTATTTTTTAAAAAATATGCTTTGTTTTTTTCATTTAATATTTTTTGCTTCTTTGTCAAAAATTAGGTGTAGTAGAGTTTGAAGTCAGAATTTGTGATGCCTCCAGAAGTTTGTTTATTGTACAGGATTGTTTTGCCTATCCTGGGCCCATACCTTGACAGAGGCTGCTTAGATGTACATATCCTTGGCCCTCTATTTAATCTTTGACTTCACTTCAGAATCTGAAAGATGTACTTGGGAGTTTGCTGGATCTCTTAGTCCCTTGCCCCAATGAGTCTAGACCTGTTTTGGGACATAAACTGTGATCTCCAAATTCAATATCAACGTGAGCAATGTTATTCCTACTTGACTCCATCTAGCTTGGCCAAATTCTTATCTAGATAAGTAGATAATCTAAAAGGGCTCCAGTCCTGTACCTATGGAGCTTCTAAGTCATCACACCATCCTAACAATGGAACAAATTGTAAAATGAACAAATGAGATCAACTAAGAGAAGTCATGAGCCAAAACCATAACCAAACTTAGAAAAGCAGATGGGGACAGAGAGATTCACAACCTCAGAAAACACTATACAAAATTATGCCACAGTTGGAAAACCTGAAGCATAATTGACAAATTTCAGGAGTCTCTGGGTGGACAATATGAAATATTATGGGAGAGAGGGCAGAGGGAGGGAGGAAGGGGGAGAGAGAGGTCAGAGGTGAAGGGAGCAGATTTTTCTCCTGGGGCTACCTTGAGGATTTCTGCCAAGCACATTGGTTAAAAAAAACAAATATTAGTGGAAAGGTTCCTGTTGCATTTGCAAGGAGAAGGAAATGAACATTTGAAATATCCCACAGTACCCAGTTCTTAAAAAGGTCTTTCCTCAGAACAAGCCATTGTACTGAAAGCTAACCTGCTGGGGTTTTATCAGATTTCAACCTAGGGTGAAGAGATTTAACAATGCACAGCTCTTCTGGCCCCTCCCTCCAAGAGAAGGGGAAAAAAAACTGAGGTGTCCTGGTGAAGTACACTGTCTAGAAGCTTAGGTTTATGAAAGACTAAGAACTAGTTATAAAACTGGTGTAGGAGGCCCTTCTGTTTATGTATTGCTTTCATTGGTTGAATAAAGAAACTACCTTGGCCTTTTGATAGGGCAGCAATTGGATAGGCAGAGTAGACAGAACTGAATTCTGGGAGGAAGAAAGCAGGATCAGAGAGAGATACTATGAAGTCACCAGGTCAGAGACGCTGAATATTTCCCAGTAAGCCACAACCTCGTGATAACACACAGATTAACGAAATGGGTTGAATCAAGATGTGAGAGTTAGCCAACAAGAGGCTAGAACTAATGGGCCAGGCAGTGTTTAAATGAATAGAGTTTTCTGTGTGATTATTTCAGGAGTTAAGCTAGCCAGGCGGTGGGACGCAGCCCACTCTGCATTACTACAGATTGGCACTTCAATGTGACGGACTAAATCCACTTAAAAACCTGAGAGGGCTTAAAAAGGAGAGAGAGTTTAACACAGCTTTTTGCTGTTTGTTGGTGGTGCTCTGCAGAGAATTTCCTGACTCAGGGATAGCAGCAGGAAAAAAGTTGTGCTGTTTTAAAACAAGGCTTCCTGGGCCCTGCTGCCTGTGCAAACTCTGGCTATGGAGCATTTGTGGGCCCGGATGTTGGTGTGCCCACTTGGGATTGGGAGGAAAGTGGCTGAGACCATGCCTGTGACTTAGCGCTCCCTGCCTGGGCAGGCGGCAGGATCAGGTTTACTAGGTGTGCACAAGCAGGAGAGGATGGTGGACTTCTGCCGCCATACACAGAGATGTTTCCAGGCTGCACAGTGCTCTGCATGGCAGATTTGGCTGTATGTGCTGCATGCTCATTCTCAGAGTTAAAGTACTGAATGCAGCTCCTACCTGGCGGCCCCAGAGCTAGCAGAAGTGGTACATCCATCATTTTGAAAATTGGAGAGAGGTGGAACCAACATCCAGAGCAGCTGCAACCAAGCTGTTTAGCATTTTAAAAGCTCTTCAAGACAGTAGAGAATTAAAGACAATGCAATAGGACAGATTCAGACATAAAAGACCTCTAAATGGGTCATAGTGTCAGGCATACGTAGGCTTGGGAGAGAGAAGAAAAAGTATTAAAAACTCATAAAATAAAGTTAATACTTTAAAGTCTTTAAAGAGACAGAGTACAGATAGTCATAGATTAAAAAAATAAGCCACGTAAAAATGGAAAATTCAGAGAGTCTGGATTATCTGTATTATTGTATTTTCTTTGAATTTTTTGACTGTAAAGGAGCTAAAGTACAGAGAGACATTTCATTGTATGGGTTAAGCTAATTCAGCATGTATATTATAAAAGTATTATTACTTCAGAATTTGGGTCTAAGGATATGATGCTTTGGAAAAGTGGTTCTTCTTTTGTTTTCACAGAGGATGAGACCCTGTGGATTGCTTCTAGACCAATATGGTATAATAGACCACACCCTCCTGAAAGGTCACTGTGAACACCTTCAGAAAATTATTTTGCCCAACTGCCGACTGAGATAAACCTAGCATACAGGATACACCATGAAAGACCTGATTAACAGTGCCCCCATACAGCAGGAAGAAGTTTGGAGAGAAATAACTACGTCCATATTCCCAAATATTGTTTATAAATGTTCTTTTACATTTAAAGGGGTTTATGATATAGATATGGATAATTTGCATTGGTATAAATTTTGCTTTATTGATATAAATTTAAGGTCAATCTTGTTATATGTGTATTTCTGATCTTGATTATAATTAGGAAATATAGGTTGTTAATGGATAATCACCTATAATAGTTAAGTTTGTAGTCATGTTAGTTAGATTTTCAAGATAGGGATTTAAAGTGAACACACATTGGTATGTTACGACTGTCATGGGCAGAGTATGCAACAGGAGGAGAATGGGTGCATGGTGTAAGCTAGGGGATAGAATCCTAAATGAGAATAAAAAGGGAAATTTGAATGATGTGAGATTCCCCTGTTTGCTGTGAAGCTACTGGAAAACTAAAAACTGTCTTGGGCCTGTGAAGGGCAGAATAGAAGTAGGTGGGGAAAACTAACCTGAATGCTGGGAGAAAGAAGGCAGAGTCAGTGAGAAGCCATGTAGCCCCGCCAGAGACAGATGCTGGAACTTTACTCAGTAAGCCACAGCCTTGTGGCAATACACAGATTAATGGAGATGGGTTACTTTAAGATATGAGTTAGCCAAAGAGCAATCAGGGTTCCCTGCCCTGTGGGAAGTCCAAGGACCACCCACCTCCATCCAGGTCTAGTAAGGTGAGCATCCTGATTGCTCTTTGGGCTGACGAGGGAGCTGGACTTCATTGGGGGAGGGGGAGGGAAAGGGGAGGCGGCGGTGGGGAAGAGACAGAAATCTTTAATTAATTAATAAAGAAATAAATAAATTAAAAAAAAGATATGAGTTAGCCAGAAATATGCTTAAGCTATTGGCCAAACAGTATTGCAAATAATATGGTTTCTGTGTGATTATTTCGGGGCTGAGCAGCCAGGAACAAACAAGCAGCCTCTTACTACAGCTGAAATCAAAAACTTGAAACAACTCTCTAATAAAAACAAAGAATTGAGGCTGAGGATGTGGAAATGTTGATACAGTGTTAGCTTGGCATGCAAGAAGTCCTGGGTTTGATTCTAGCACCACAAAACCAATTCGAGTGCCACAAGCCTGTAATCCCAGCATTTTGGGAGAAGAGGGAAAAGTAGAACACATGGTATGCTTGACTGAGGACAGAGGTATGCCTCTGAGCATAAGGATTTTATAATAGAAATTTCAAACCTGAAAAATACAGATAAGGAAGAATAAAAGAAATAAAACATAAAGGCAACCCAGAGGTGAATAGATAAAAATTGTGGGACAGATTTTGAAAAGCATAATTTATGTATAGTAGGAATATCAAAAGGGGAGAAAGAGGCCTCTTTGAAGTTTAATAATGGTTAAGAAGTTTCCTAAAATTCATGTTAGACAGGAAAGCACAGATCCAAAAGGCTTAGATATGCTTGTCCCAATAGACATAATGAAACCACAGGTAGTCAAAGAATCCAAAGTGGAGGGATCTCATATATAGAGAAGGAAAGAAAGAGTTCCATCTTACTTCACAGAAATCATTCCAGCAAGAAGAGAGCAGGGTGACATTTTCAAGTGTTGTAAAAGACGGGAGGACACTCCATCTAGTTTTCTGCACACTGTGAAATAATCCTTTAAAGGTGAAGGGGAAATGAAACTTTGATCAGAATAACAACTTGAAAGAACATATTGTCAGTTTACCTGCCTTGCAAAAGGTATTAAATAGAAGATACTTTTCAGAGGGAAGCAAAATGATGACGGTCAGAACTTCATTTACATTATAAAGGATCAAAACCACCAAAGAATGAATGTTGAAAGCAAAATGACTTTTACTTTTTTTCCTTAAAGTTTTATAAAAAGCATACTGTACTTATACACATGTATATATGCTTATGTATAAATAAAGTGAATAGCAACAATGGCAATAGGGACAGTAAGGAGGAATTTACATATATGAGGGTTGTGTATACACATTTGTCGGTGACATGTGTGCAGGTACACATGTGCATGGATGTATGTGCACAGGAAGGCCAGAGATAAAGACAGAACATTGTGTGTCTTCCTCAATCACTTTTCACTTTATTTTTGAGACAGGGTCTTTCATTGAACTGGAAGTTTATGAATTTGTCTAGACTGGTTGAGCAGCCAACTCCAGGGGTCCTCCTGTCTCCACTTCTTCTGTACAGGGAATTACAGGTCCAGGAAATCCTATGTAGCTTTTTATGTGTGTGCTGGGAATCTGAACTCAGTACTTCATGTTTACACAACAGCCCTTTACTGAAGTCACTTCCCCAGTCACAATGGTTTGCTATTTTAAGGTACTATATTGAGAATCATGTCAGCCGGGTGGTGTCAGATTCCATAGCCTCCACCATCTTGCTCCTTTCATTGTAGCTATTTCCCATCTGGATAGAAGCTTGACTGCTTTTCACCCTTCTCTTTATTTGAAGTCATTCAATTCTCAACTCTCATTTTGAGCAATTCATCTAAGAATGGGCTTTTGAATCGCCCAAATTTTCACCAACACACTGGTTTTTTTTCGAGACAGGGTTTCTCTGTGGTTTTGGAGCCTGTCCTGGAACTAGCTCTTGTAGACCAAGCTGGCCTTGAACTCACAGAGATCCGCCAGCCTCTGCCTCCCAAGTGCTGGGATTAAAGGCGTGCGCCACCACTGCCGGGCTCAATTGGGATTCTTAAAGAGATTATATCTAAAAAGGAAGATTTGTGTCCCATGAATCTTAGAGACTAGAGGTAGGTGTTTCAGAGACAGACATACCTAATGAACATATCTGAAAGACAAGTTTCACACAAATAAAAGGATTTTATTGACACATGATATTCTATTACAATAATAAATATAATACATTCTTCTAAGGCTTAGTTCAGAAGCTGATGTGCCCATAGTTGGACCATCTTGACTTTCCGTACCATCTTCTTCAAAGCTGCATTAAAATGGAACATGTGTTGTCTGAGAACCAAATAGATATGTACCAGAGTTGCATCAGTTATAATGCTTCACTCCATGAAGGTCACTGGTCTTTGTAATTCCTGTCCTCCTCACTTCCCTTTTTAGAAATAGCTAGTGCCAATAAAAATTCAACATTTCAAATATAAAAATTATTTTATACAAATATAATTCATTATGTAATCATTCTTAAAATACATCATTGTTACATGTGAGTTTAAAACATTATTACTAAAATAAATATTTTCCAGAGAAAATTTCATTTGCATCACAAATTATAAAGCAAAACATATAAAACTAATTCCTGATTAAATCTTTGTCAGAGTATCTCCCCAACAATTGTGTGGAGACAATATGAAGCATACACAGCTAGCTGGGAGCACATGAATATCCCCTGCACATATCTACCCATGCTGCCCGTGGCCTGTCTCCATGGGAACTCCTTGGCCTGGTACTGGGCTGCTCCAGTTTGTGTTGACACAAGTCTCCTTTACTTCAGAAGTCTTAAAGGTCTATTCTGGGAGCATATGTGTGTCAATTTCCACATCAAGGAAATTATCCTGGCCCCTGCACGGTACTGTAATGACTCTTTTCCTATGTCAGAGATACTTTAACTATAAGAACATTTAGAGGTGTTGGAGTAGGGCTGGATGGTCTTAATCCTAATTTCCAAGATCTTGGAATTCTTATTACTGAATGAAGGTAACAAGAACACAAGGTGTCGAGTGGGGGATCTTCAATACCACCCCGTGTTTTCCTAGTATTCTAACATTTGCTTGGAGTGGGCTACATATTAGTATGTAGCAGGTAAGATAACCATGTGTCTCTCTTGAACAGAAGAAAGATGGGATATGGGCTATTTAAGCCACCCTTTCCAGTTATTATTTCATCCGATCTAAATTCTTCACTAATGTAAATGAAGTTGCTCTGAATAACAAGTTGAACAACTAACCTGGTTGGCACTTATAGCTGCCTTTCCAGCTACGACTGGAGGGCAAATGTCTGCAGGAAAACGTGGCTTGCAAAGCACCAGTGGCCCATCATTAGTATCTGAAGCCTTTCACACAGTTCAGCCACTATTAGAAGCCAGTTACCCAGTCCCATAGGAATGTTCTTGATTTCTCTTCCAGAACAGGCTCCTAAAATGCAGGGATGGGGCTTCACCCTGTTTTCAAAGGCACACACAGTGGGGCTCTTCTCCTCTGAGTCCATGAGCAAACATCTCATGTGATCATTTTGCAATCATTTGCATTGTCTGACCTTTAATCTTTCCTTTTCCCTTCTTCTTGTTTTTCTGTGTATATCCATTAATGTGCATGTGTGTGTCTGTGTATTCATGTATGTGTACTTGTAAGAGGAGCTCCTCAGGAACTGTCCCTCAGGTACCTGGCCTGGAACTCTAAGTGGGCTAGGATCACTTGCCGCAGAGTTCCAAGGATCCAGCGGTCCCTGTGTCCCCAGCACTGGGGTTAGAAGCACGGGGCATGCCAGGCATTTTCATTTTGCATGGGTTCTGGGAATGTCTCAGGTCCACGGAGCTGCTTCCCCAGCATCCCAGCCACTAGAGACGGGTTTCTTGCACTTCTTCTTCTGTCTCCTCTTTCAGAGCAGTAATTTGCGACCGAGGCTTCTGCTTGCTGGAGTGGCGGCTCTGGAAGAGCCTCATCTTTTCTGAGGAGCTAATCGCCTGCTGGAAGAGACTCTTCTCGTTCAGAAGTGCCTGAAGTGAGTCGTACTGTGATACACTGCCCTCTTCTATGACCTAGGGAAAAGGTCATTAGTGAAACTTCAGAGAGTGAAGATCAAGCCAGTTAAGGATAAGAAATAGACCTAGGCCCAAAGGAGAATAAAAGTCCAAAGAAAACACAGGATTCAGAGCCATGTATATCTTACTTAAGTTTCACATCTATGAAATTAGCTGTGAGTAGCAACTGGAATTTCAAAAATTAATTTAATATCATGTGTTATACTCCTTCAGGAAACTAGAACTGAAGGAGCTTTGTAAACCTGAGTGATTGATGATTTATCTCTTACATACTTTTAAGATGATCTATATATACAGCACCATAAACTTTGAATTTCTTCTAAACTGAGTCTGAGGCCTAGCAATTCCAAATTGGCTAGGCATGGCTGAGTATAATGCCTGCAATGCAGCTTTGCAAGTCTGAGCCAGAGAACAGAGATCTTGATCCAGGCCCTAAATTGACCATAGTGGAAAAAAAGATGAACCTACTCTCTAGTTGCTGCAGCTGGGCAATGACATTAGGAATAACAATACTTCAGCAAGAAAAGCAGTTCCCTCCAGAACATTCAAAAGCCCTGAAGTGAAAATGTTACATCATCCTTGGCCCTTCTTTGTGTTACAGAGGAGGGAATTTGTAAAGCCCCCCTGAAGGAGCTGTGACAGCTGGGAAAGAATGAGAAGGTGGCTGACAAGGACACTAGCCTGCCTCCCAGTAGACATGAGGGCACTGAAAGAGGCTTCCTGCTTATTGCACTAAAGCCACTGACAGGAAGGCCAATCCCGAATCTTCCCCCAAGGGACGTTTGGTTATTGAAAGAAACGGATTATTTCTTCAAGAGTACATTTTGTGACTAGTTCCCCCAAAGAGGAGTATGAAAGTACAGATGTCTGCTCTACGAGGCCACTTGGCAATATCATGCCTCTGGAGTGTGCTAAATTTCAACATCACTTCATAGCTCCAGTCAAAAGGAAAGACTCCTGCAACCACACTAAGTATGCAGATGTGTGATGTAGGTATGAAGGAAGGACACATGACTATAATTTATAGGACCTATTGCACTAGATTGTTAAAATAAAAGGGTAACAAGACACTGAAGAAATGTAAAAGACTCACCAAAAATCGTTGACAATCCAACATTGCTTCTATCCTGTGTTCACAGAGGATTACTGTGCAATTTCTGAAGGCATGTTTGAGAACTCTTCGAATTACTTGGTACGTTCTAGCAAAGCAGTAAAAAACCATATAAACATTACAGAGAATGAATATCTGTCTTTATCTTTGATAACATGCATAGTGTCCTATATATTTAGTTCTTTATTTAAAAAATACTTTTAGTATTATGTTGATACAGAATTATCCAAGTCATCTTCTAAGCAGGGGGTAAGTTCTAAGTACCTAATACATTAATAAGACAAATGATTGCAAGAAAGCTTTAATAAAACTACATTTTATGTAGATTCATTTTAAGTTCTTTATTCTGTACTATTAATGATTTTATAATAAAAAGTCTACGGAAGGAAACCATAAGAATGTGCACATATAACTAAATATTTCATCATATGTTCATGAGGTTGAAGAGCTTGCACAAAATTTCAGACTCCAGTCAGAGGAGGAAACAGGGCTCTTATGGAAGGACATAAGTACTTAGGCTCATGTTAAATAGTGACTTTCTCCTGGGCAATTATTTTGTATCCCCTACTTGCAAGCACAGTAGCTGAATGGAAATTTGTAGCAATATGAAGTAACATTCAATGACTCTTGTCTATTTTGCTATTACATCACAGGATTTCTGGAACTCACATGGGGTCCAGGTGGGCACTGGGCTCATCAAGAAGTAAGATCTTGGCCTTACTGAGAACAGACCGGGCCAGGCACATCAGCTGCTTGTGGCCATGGCTGAGCACATAACCCCCATCCACAAGGGTAAAGTTGAGCTGCCCGGGAAACTGCTCAATCACAGATTTTAGTCCAACCTATAGTAAAGAAAGGAAAATACTGTGCTTAGAAGGAGCACCCAAGATACCACAGAACTAAAATCACTCAAGAGGCTGACGTTCTAAAAATACACAGGAGTTTGCACAGATTAAATTTCACATCACCCTCAAATTCCAGCTCTTACTTAGTTTATTAAGCAAAACTCTGTTTACAGTATTCGTTGCCCTAAGCCAACTGGAAAATTCTTTCAGCCCCATACTTCATTCAGGAGTTAAGTGCCTAGTTTCCCAACAGTGACACACAATGATACCTGCTTCTTGAAGGCTCGGGATTGACAAAGACATATATCTATAATATATGATTAGAATGTGATTTAATGTGTGCTTTAAATATAACAGACATAGAACACAGTCATTCACTTTATGATGACATCCTATTGCACACTGTATACGATGAAGTATTCAAGAGAAGAAAGGATAGAAGACAATATGTCATGGTATGATACGTTTACCTTCTATCTATAGGCAAAGAACTAGCTGGGGAAGCTTTACGAATTACACGACAGTCCAATAGTCATCTCCTTCATTTGTAAAAACAGTGAGAAACTGATCATTTTCTCATGAAGTAAAAAGTTACTTAGGAAAAAATGGAACATGACTAAAGTTTAAAGTTTTTTTAGATGCTGGAGTGAAATATGAAGATTTATTTAGAGTTAATAGCTTATATTTTATATGGCAAAGTAAAAGATCAAAAATTCTGTCAAAAGTAAAGCATAATTATAGATGTCTTGGTAGTTGTTACTTATTCTGTACATTCTGTCTTCTTGCTAAGAACCACTGAATATAAAATGGCTAAAGAAATGTTCTTCTTAATTGTCACAGACATCTGTGTACTGAAAGCATCCCTAGGTGTCATACTGGGGCCTCCACACATTCATGGGACTCCAGAAAAAGGTTTCAAGGGAAAGACCTAGGTTTCTAACCTGGGATGCTTCTAAAGATTCCTTGCTAGGAGTCGTGATTCATCTGGTCATGATTCTGCTTCATTGCTAGACAAGCCATGGCCTGGTAGTAGAAACTTGTATTCCGTCATTTCTCCTGATGACTAAAGTCCACACGAATCCCGTCCCTCTACCTTCCCCAAAGCGGCTGCCTACCCCTCTTCTCTTTGTGTTTTTACGGATCATGTGTGCACATTTTTACATTAACTGACTCTATTGCATATAATTGTGTTAGAGGCTGACTAAAACATAAAGTCGAATCAATTAAGAATGTATAATGTCCCACTGTAGGGAATAGCAGCTTCTAAGAATTAATGTCTTTGGATTACCATAAATAAAGCATGGAGAAGGAAAAACAAACAAACAAACAAAAGAAATGTAGATATGATTGTTTCTTGCCCTTCAGGACTCTGGAATTTAGTATGTGCAGGTAAGATATATACTCATATAATTCTAACATAGGCAGACTTAGATAATGACCTTCAGAAAGATCTCATGATTTTGGAGATGAATTCAGAACTGGTCCACATTGCAGTTTATGCCAGGCTCATGTGTGTTCATTGTGGATAGTTGAAATCAGCACTTCTTCTAACTACCCTTTGTGTACACATTTTAAGGTGTGAAAGGTTTCTGAGACAGCAGGGAATGTAGGCACATCAGACAAGGAAGACTGCCTTTAATATAAAACTTCATTCCTTGCATATGAGGTTTCAACCCCAACTCCAACTCACCTGTCTCTAGATTGTGGTTATTTATATGGTATCTACCATTAAGCTAATGATTTTGCCTATCTCCAGCCTAGAGGTTTTTCCAATTATTTCTGAAGCCTTTCTCTTTGTCAGTTATGACACGCTGAACCTTGACTGGGCCTCTGTCATTTATTAAGCATCATTGTCAACTCATCACAGAAATATTTAAGAGATCTCCCTAAAATGCAGATCTGAAAGTGGATCATTTCTCTGTTCTTTTCATTATGAATAAAATGTTCTCATGTGGCACAAAAGACATCTTGAACCACCCCCTCTCCACCTCAACACCTACTGCTGTGCCCAGCAGCATTAGTTTTTAATTCTTTACATCTCAACATTCTCAGGATTTATCCTGCTGCTCAAGTCTGAATACCCTTTAAATATCCTTGATTATCCCTAAGAAAGTCAGGAATCCTGTATTGTGGAATGTCTGTTTCCTCTACATTACTTGAAAGTAATGAATGGTGTTCTTCATTTAGCAGCACTTTCAGCCTCAATTCATTCATTCATTCATTCATTCATTCATTCATTCATTCATTATCTACTGTGATCCTCCAATGCTATAGTCAAACAAAACAGTCTTTATGCATTAAAACTTAAGTATAAATGAATTACTACTAGTTTTAGCTCCGACATTATAAACTGTATTCTATAAATCTTAAAGAATATGTAACTCCCCATCAAATTACAAAGTTAAAAGTTTCCAAATATGGTTAGATAAATCAGTAACCCATATCAAATTATTCAGTAGTATTTGCAGGTTTTTTTTTTCAGACCGTGTTTCTCGAACTCACAGAGATCCACCTGCCTCTGCTCCCAAGTGCTGGGATTAAAGGTGTGTGCCACCACCGCCCAGCGGGTTTTTTTTTGTTTGTTTGTTTGTTTGATGATACTTTTTTTTTAAAGTTAAAAGTGTGAATTGTGCTTTGCCTCCAAGTTGCTAGTGGGCAGCTTAAAAATAGATATCCTCACCGCCTTCTGCTTACATTCTGCAGGCTTTCCAAAGCAGATTTCCCACTTAAAAGGCCACTGTTGTTTTTTATAACAGTTCACTTGACTACTAATGTGTAAAGATGGCAACTTTTAAAAATAATGTAACAAGCAAAAAAAAAAAAAAAAGCAAACAAAAAACCCTCACATCCTAATAGCAAGAGTCAAAATACCAAGATCACTCAGGTAGATCACTAGACTGGAACAACAGAGGGCCCAAACTCAGGGCAGCTGTTCTTTTGGGCATTCATCAGTCATGCTAGCAAGGCTATTTGTTACTGGAATGAAGATGATAATACATATTGTACATCAAGTATAAATATATTTTCATTACACATTTTGCATGAGATAAAGGAATCCCTCATTTATTCAATCATTCATTCAGTATGTATTAAACAGCTCCCATGGGTTCAACTACTGCAGGAATGAAAAATACCACAGAGCACAGGGTATGATGCCATAATCCTGGTGAACCTGCAGCCACATAGGAAATATGGAGTAATCAATAGGGGAATTTTGATCCAGTGTAGGGAATTTTGAAGGACTGCAGGCATGGGATACACCTAGGAAAGTCTCCTTTCCCAAAGCTGGGGGGTCAGGATGGGTTTCAGAAAGAAGTAATGTGTGACAAAAGGTTTCAATGATGAGAAGAAGCAGGAGTGGTGGCCTGGGAGGGTTTCTCAGGTACAGAGAACAGCAAGTGAAAAGCAGCAACAACAACCACACCAGTCCTGACCACAGAACAGAGGGCAGTCTGAAAATTGAAATTCACAGAATCATAGGACACAGGGAAGGTAGGGGGCTGAGAGCAGAGTGGTAAAGATCAAGTCACAAAGGCCCTTTATGCAACGTACAACAGGTACTCTGTGCAACAGGAAATAGAGGGGTACAGGGTGGGTGGTGAGCAGAGGAGATGCAGGAGCTCCAGAGCTGTATAGGGGAGGGATCTGCCCTAAAACCAGTCCAGGAAGGTTAGACTTTTGTCCTAGTGTCTTAGGAGGCTGACACACCCCAACATGTCCCTGTTGGTAGATACTGGATTATCAACCATAAAGGATTAAAGTTTAGGATTTGTGTCTTTTAAACCAGATCTCGTACTGCCATAGGCTAGGGCTTGGTGCTTGTGTTTCTTTGTGGTCTCTTCAACAAAAAACTTGTCACTCTTATTCAAACCACTGGACATTAAGCTTAGATTGGAAGCAACATCTTTATGAACATAAATTTAAAAGGAGTATCAGTGAAAAGATACAACTAAATATGGACTGATAGACAAAATCTAGTCATGTGACCGTCTGTATTATATTGTAATCCAAAGTCTTAACTGTATCTTCTAACATTTTAGATGATTTTATGATCCTGCTTCCCTGCAAATTTTATGGAGACTTGGCAATACCTGCAAGTTTTATACAGTCTATACCCTCTTTCCCAAGTTCTCTCTAGTACATTGCATTCTTGAAGTTCACCCTGTAAAATTACAGTAAGGATCTTACAGCCTGTCACAATTTAGTTAATGTTTTCTTTAGAAACCTTGCATTTGCTGGGTAATAAGGAAACCTTGATAATGAAAAAACAGTTAATCTCAGTGCCTTTTATTAGGGGAAGGTTAGGGTTGGTTACTCAAGGGGTTAGCATTTAGCACTCAGAGGCTTCAAAGCTCCTGGCAAGATCTGCTCTGGAGCAAGGCAGAAAACAGCAAGGGAGCAACAATGACCAAAGTACAGGAAATGGTGAAATGCCAATATAGCAAATCTAAAGCCCAAAGCCTTGTGGAGCTGGCTTGGTTGAGACTTTGGGATTTCCAGTTGTATATGATAGTGGAATGCGTTAAGACTTTGAGGGTTGTAGAGATGGAGTAATATATTCCTAAGAAAAAAACCATGATTTTGGAGGGGAGTAGTGAGGTGTCTACATGTGTAAATCCTTCAGAAACATGTTAAAATCTTAATGTCTAAGACAGTGCTACTGAGAGATAAGAAGTTTGGGAAGTGATTAAGTCATGGGGTCTGAGTTCCCCATGGATGGGATTAGCATTCTAATAAAAAGGAGCCTGCAGAGAGTCCATTCACCAGTTATACTGCCTGAGACACAGCAAGTACATCTCTGAACTGCCAGGAAGTAGGGCCTCAGCAGACAACAAATAGTGTCTGCTAGCTCTAGACTTCCCAGTCTCAAAAATGATGAGAATAAATCCATCCTGTCTATGAACAACCGAGTCTATGGAACTTTATGACAGCAGCATGGAACAGCCTATACAGTAAGTTCCCACTCCCTTGAGAAGAGGGATGAGTCTAGTTCAAAACACGAATACGCCAGTTAAATTACAAACTATTTATACACACATACATGTATTCATACATATATACACAGGTAGATGTGCGAAACATACATCACCTATGGTAATCACACTTGTGTATGATCTGCCTCCTCAGAACGATTTCATTTAATGTACTTACCTCATCTGCAACTTCCCATATTTCTTCATCTCTCCATTGTCCGTTAGGATCTAGGTTTTGTCTGAATGTTCCAGAGAAGATAAATACTTTCTATAATGATAAAGACAATTAGAAAGTATGAATAACCTACACATCTTATTTTTTTCCTTTTTATTCCAAAACATTTCAAGTAAAAAATTAAACAAAACAGACATTCACATATCCAGTATCTAGTTTTCTTAAATTGTAGTACTTCTATATCACTTTTAAGGCCAAAAAAAAAGGAAAGAAAAGAAAATGCAGCAGCATTTGAAATGTTTTCTGGGCTTTTTTTCTAATTTCAATGTCCTTGGGATATGGAAATTGAAGTCACTGTATATTGTAGAGAGAAAAATGTTTTCTTTTACTTATATTCATTATAAGCAAATGTAATGTGTAATTAGAAAAATTTAAAACACCGTGTGTTTGAGTTAGAATTTAATTGCTAGGAAAAACATATTTTTTTCAAATATATTTTCCTTGGATTTTACTGATGAACTAAGACATTGTTCACGTAAAGAACATTCAGACATTCATTGTAAAACCTGATTAATATACAGAAACTTAGTCAAACATATATGTTCATTTAGTTTATAGATTTGTGCAGCATCTTACTTATATGAACAGAGAGAAACAGAAGGAAGAACAACTTAGAAACGCATCAGTGACCATGATCAGCTATTTGTGAAAAGGCATGGATGCTGAGGAAAAGAGGCAGATGCTGCAGTGTGGGAGCAGCACTGCGTGGCCATCACTGAGATGCTCCACTGCAGAACCACTTCCACCTAGGTGGGCCATGTGCTTAAAAGGACATCACTGTCTTAACGAGGAATCTTGTGCAATAAGCAATGTCTGAAAAGATAATATTTAGTTCTTTCTGTTCACACAGAAGACTGGCAAAATAATTTTGATGCTAATATCTAAAATAATTTTCTTCTCCTGGTTACCTTTCTGTAACTTTGAAAGAGCTATATATTCAGTTGAAGCACACAATAGAAATGTTTACTTTGGCAAACAGAATAGTGCCATTATTCTAGAAGTCTGAAAGGAGTGGACAAGATGTTTTATCTTCAAAAACAGACAGTTATTAGAGGGGATGTGACCTGCACATTGGTTTTGTTGTGGTTTGGCTACAAACAGAAAGCCAGTCTTAATTCCATGCTTTGAAAAACAGAGCAATTATATCTTAATCTTGTTCTCTCTGCATCTCTATCTCACAACATGGCATCTTCAGAACTTGGAGGAACTCATAATTAATCTCACTCCTCAATCCACCTAAATGAAATGAGTCATCAGCCATTTATTTTATTCTCACACTATGTCAAATCAACTTATTTCTCAATTGTCCCCACTGACTGGTCCACACCGCCCTCTCTCCGTGTCACTGAAAGAGCTTCCTAACTGGTTTCCTTCTTTATACTCTTGCTTCTCTTACAATGCATTCAAATAATTCATGATAAATGGAAATGGTTTATTTCATTAACCTTTTAGAAAACTTTCAATAATTTCCTATTTCACGGAGGGCACAAAATCCTTAAGATGACCATTAGGTCTTATGACCCTTTCGACACCATTCTGGTCTAACTACACAGACTTTCTTAACTTCTTCATATAATTTATTTTTCTCAACTGGATATATTCATGCTTCACATGACAAGCTCCATCTTTTATTTTTCAAATTAAATTTCATTTTGTAGGGGCACTGTTCTTTGTCATCCAACCAAACAAACTTCCCTAATTATTTCTTATACTTAAATAATACTAAGCTTAGGTGCTGGAGATGTTGCTCAGTTGGTAAACCTGGGTCTGATCCCACAAGCTCATAAGCTGGGCACAGTAGCATGTGCCCATAAACCCAACACCCAGGAGTTAGAAAACAAGAGGATAACGGTTTCAAGGTAACCCTTTGCTACATAGGAAGGCAGAGGCCAATGTAGGTCACATGTCTCAAAGAAAACAACTAAGGTTATGTGCATATCTGTGAATGTTTGATTTAAAATGCTCACATCCCCTTGAAGGCCATGTCTTTACTTTCTACTGTAGATACACGCTTTGTATAAGTTCAAAAAAGTTGCCTGATGAGCGTGTGGAGAAGTGAAAGTACAAAATAATCACAGTCAGAGTAAATGTTACTTTTCCTCAATTGTGAAGGTTAATTTCTATAAGTTACTGTCTGGTTAATAAAGTTGTGTGTGTGTGTGTGTGTGTGTGTGTGTGTGTGTGTGTGTGTGAGAGAGAGAGAGAGAGAGAGAGAGAGAGAGAGAGAGAACGAGAGACAGAAACAAAGAGATCTACTAAATGTGATGCAACATGAAAGTATCACAGTTGCTTAAAGTATTAACACTGACAAACCATTGAATCTGCGATGATGGCTCATAGCTGATTCAGAAATAGAAAGCCTAAATTTTATTCATAAAAGTCTAAATTATATATATTAGATTATTAAATTTATGACATTTTAACTATTTTAAACAGATACACATTCAAATTATGAAGTAAGCTGTCTTTTAGGAATCTAAAAGCTTTAGGTGTAGTGGTTTATTACAACTAAGAAATCTTGGAAGCCTTTTGTTCAGAATTTCTTGCCTATAAACTACACATCCAATTTTAAAGAAAAATGGACTGAACAAACTGGTTCTGTTAGAACTCAGTTGTATGCGACCAGACATTCCATTCCTGTAATCCAAAGAGAGCCTGGCAGTTGCTGGCTGTCACGGTGCCAGCACATGTCTTGCTTATGTTTCCTAAACTGTTTGAACAGCCCGCAAAACCCTCTGTATGCCTGAAAGGTCCTTGGAGGTCATCTGAAGTTCTTTCTCTCTGTTCTAAAAATTCAGCAGTCACAGCCCTGGGAAGAGGCATGGGTTTGGCCACCATGGCCCTCTCAGGTCCATGCACCTGAACCTTTTAATCACAGGGTCCCCTGCTGGTCTTGTCATAAACTACGCACTAGTAAGAAAAGTCAGGGCAAGCAAATATTTGATATTTATTTAATGTCATGTATGGTATAAAGAGCAATTCTTGAAACTCTAGGCAGAACAAAGAGATCACCATTGTTCACCTGATGACTAATCTCTTCCCTGAAACTGACTCCTCCATTCCTCAACTCTGTAGAAGCAGCTGTGCCTACATTGACTTCCCATGGCTGGTCTATCATTGCAACAGGCACTATGCTTTAGTACTAGATGTCAAATGAAAAGAAAAAAAAAAGCAGTTCAGTATATGTAGTGAGTGGATTTATTATAAAGTAACTACATGGGAGAAGTGGCTGTCCCTGCATACATATATGTGTTTGTATATATCCCTTGAGATGTGGCCCAAATGATTGGAGTTATTACTGTGGTTGAAGTCTCTCATCATTTCTGCAGCACTTTCTGTAGAGTCAACACCCATGCAGGATGAATCTTCATGATCCTCAGGCTGCATTACAATGTTTAAAATGAAACACTGTTTTGCTCTAAAGAAAATCCTTTGGCTAGAAAATTATGAAGAATATATTTCTATTTAGAACTATTAACAGTTTATAACAAACATAGAGCATTATACTGTCAATTTGCATGTCATTTATTTAAATATAAAAGATTGCATGTAAGATAGTAGAAGTACAGTTTCCTGGAAATCCATTCAGTGAGTCATAAATACTTTTTATGTCACAAAGTTTTAGTATAAACCCTTTCAAAGATAAAAATGTTTTTCTAATCAAAGTATATAATCAAAGGTTTTGAATTTTAGTATCAGAAATAGCTGAATGGTGTTGTATTTATTAAAATAGGACATGTCAGTTATATCAATGCCTTCCCTTGAATTCTGCACTGTGTCCAACTCTCTACCTCAGTCAGTGCTAATCACTCACATCACAGTGAGATCATTTGATAGTCCATCATGTATGTGCCAGTGTTCCACCATACCTTCTCCAGGTCCTTTCTTACCCTAGGAGAATCAGCCCCTAGCTGCTAGAAAAGTCCCTGACTTCTGATTTCCTCTGAGGTTTCTCTCTTTCTTGTCAGATTGACCTGTCCTTTTGCTTGTTCATAGTCTCCAGGCCTGCAACTCCATGTACCCAATCTTTCTAAACCTATACACTTGATGACACTTTATGGCATGTATTCATTACAACTTTCTTTGTGCAATTGTCCACACTAATTTTTTCACACTTATAGGACATAGCCCCAGTCTAATACACAGACAGAGGAAGCATGACTTTTTCCTCATAGAACAATAAATGATAACAATAACTAGCACACACAGAATACTCAAGCAATGTGGAAAGGAAGAGTCTAAATACTTTCCACTCAGTTCCGACAAGGCACAAAGAATTGTTATCTCTATACCCGCTTTACAAATAAGGAGACTGACACGGAGAAACAAAACACACGGCCTACGATTACACTGATTAAAGCCCGAATGCTGACAGAGCACAAGTGAGAGAGACAGCAGTGTTTAGTGAGTCAGCATACAACGGTGTCTTTATGAATTCCTCTTAGGCAAGGTGTTCTCTTACATGTCTTACAACAGAGAAAAAATTGCAGAAGAAAATTATTTAATATTTCTATTATTCTTCTTATAATTCTACTTCCATTTTTATTGGAATATCTACAATGTGTTTAAATTCTAAGTGCAAATGAAAGGAAAGGGCAGATAATTTGAAAATCAGGAAACACCAGAAGTACAAGGATAAATTCACAAACAACGTTTGAGATCCCATTTGTGTGTGAATGCTGGGAGTGTTAGAAAAAAAATCCTCAATTAATAAAGTCTGGCCAGCAAACAGTTACATGTTTGCTGCAAACAGAAAGGAAAAAGGAAAGAACGAGGAGACAAACAGCGGGAAAGGAGGGACACTGAGGTCCGAGAAGCAGTATTAGCAGATTTGGGGTCTGGGCATTTATCACTGTCCCCGCACTACCCAAAACCTTGGCAGACAGCTACATTCAGTTACTGATTTTCAGTTTCTCCTTTTGTCTCAGTTTTTGCTTTAATCTCTGCTAGATGACAATGACCATCGTTTTGAGTTCCGCATTACAAGTTTACAGGCTGGACCAGAACTCTGCGCTGGCACAGCAAAGACAAGTAGTATTTTGTTCTCTTGTATAACTAAAAGGTCTAGAAAATAGTTATAAGAACAAAGTTTAGCAATTCCGTATGGTAAGTTTTAAGTTGTCACCTGTTGCCCCATACTTTCATTGTTAATATCCACACATGTGACCTGATATCTCCCAAAGCAAACAATGTCCCGACTCTGTCTGTACTGAGAGTGATGGAGAAATGCTGCGTATTTCCAAACCATGGAGAAAAGGAGCCAGTGAGATGGCTCGCTGGATAAAAACATTTGCCACACAAGCCTCATGACCTGAATGCAATCTCCAAATTCCATGGAAGAAGGAAAGAACAGATTCCTGAAATTTGTGCTCTGACCTCTGCAAGTGTGTCCTATCATGCATACACCCACACATCCTCCCTTCCTCTCATACACATCACATACAATAAAAGTAAATGAAAACAAAAATAAAAGTTCTAGTCATTTACTTACAAGAGCTTCCAGTCTTCCAAATTTGTAACTGAAGCCTTAAAACAATTGTTTCTCATTAGTTCATTTGCTTACAAGGTCTACAGTTAGTGAACAGTTTCATCTTGGTACTCTAAATGTCTAAGCCAATGAGATGCCAACTATTAGCTTCACTGTCTCCTCTTCTTGACTCAAAACTCAAAGCCAAAATAGAATACAAGAGAGAGGCTCTTTTGAATGTTCACAATAATTTGTCTTCTGGGAAGCATGTATTCTGAGATGGCTCTCTAGATGCTAATTATAAAAACAAAACAAATAAAAACAAGCAACTTCCAGGAACTGCTCAAACCAATGGCAGCTTGTGACTCCACAGCTGTTTCAGGATCCCTTGTATGAGACAGGAGATGTGTTTCAAAGTCTGTTTCATGTGTTTGAAAACCAGTGGCCAATGAACATTACACTAGTTCAAAATGAGAGTGATATTCAGAAGTATGACCTTGTAAGGAGAGATATTAGAGACAGGAAAAGATAAAAACGCCAAAAAAATTTGTTGTTCTTATATATTCGGCTCACTCTTCGTTCTTTATATCCTTCTAAAGCAGCCCTTAGCTTCGATATCAAGTATATAAAGAATTTGTCTTCTTTCTCTTTATTAGCTATTTAGAAATGTTCAAAACTGTCAGAGAAAATGTTAACCATGCTGGCAAATGCTCTTGAGACATCAAGCAAAGAAGTTATATGGCCCTCATCAGCATTTCTGAACACATTTTTTTTTAAATTTAGTTTATGTATCTTGGTGCCATAAAAGAGAAGAAATGAATAGAGTCAAGTTTGAAAACTGACTAAGCAGAAAGGCAAGACAGATGTTTCTAACTCTGGCCCATTCTGTTGTACTCTGAGTCCTGTCTATGTAGGTTCCTAAGGAGAACTAGCAAGGAGTGCAAAGCCCTTCTATTGCATGACAGGTACAATGAAGGACGAGAAGAGTGACCTTTCAGAGCCTGGATTTTCTAGTGGTTATAACTGTGTGAACAAGAACAACAAGGCAAAGATTTCACCGAACTAGTTAAAATCAGGGAACTCAATGGCAGTGCTTCTCTGACAACCACGCTTGCTTCCACTGTGCTTGGCATTTTTTCTCGCCTAATTCTATCACCTTAGCAAACTGGTCTTTCCAATAGTTCTTTATCTTTAGACCATCTGACAATCTCCTTTGTTTTTAAAAATTATGTTCCTACAACTCCATTTAGGATGGAGCTTCTGGAAAATGGCAAACTACAGAGATGGATTTAAAGCATCAGTTTGGCAGCCACAATATTCAGTGCCTCACCACTTGAAGATCTTTTATCAAGAATACAAGCATTTTCTTGGTCTAGATCTGTAGTTGGTCTCCGGGTGATGCTTCTGGCATGTTAGTTTTGTTAAAAGTACAGAGGTGCTGGGTTCCATGCTTAGTAGAACAAAAGGAGGAAAAGTATTGGAGAAAAGGGCAAACAGCAACACAAATACTGCATATGTCTTCTGCCTTTAGTCTCAGTAAAAATATCTCTTGGTTTGCATATGGGTCATGTGACTGCAACTGTAGTTGTTTCTCTTCTACACAAAACATCAGCTTGTGCAGTAACACACACAGAATGGCACTCAACAGTGATATTAGAGATCCTGTAACCCAAACCAAACTCTGACATTTGCAAGCTATAGATTAATCTGACATAGTTCTTCTTATTCAAACTCCAAAGAAAAACCACTGTACTTTGATATCCAACTGTACTATGTCACGCCTCAAAGAGCTGATGATTTCAGAAGCATCTTTCGTATCTTGCAAAGCATTTACCCATGGGGGGGGCTATCACGCACTGGGAACACTGAAGCAGGACTATGAAAAACATCACAAAACAATGCCCCAGGCCGCAGCTATAGACTGTGCTTCAGAAAAAAAAAATCTACCCAAACATTTCAAAAAATACACTTCACACAGAGTTCCAAATTTTGAGAGCTGTTTTTATGCCTTATGGTACATTTTTTTTCTTGCACTGCAGGAGATAGCAGAACCCACCAAATATATTTTGCAGAGTAATAAGAATTTCTTAGGTATGTAAAAGAATGATAAAAATGTCAATTTTTACTGTTTTTATTTTACATATTTTTGTGCTCACCTGTGTTATTACTCCAAAAGCTTTCCTCCATTCTTGTAAGGTCACAGAGTTCCATGAGACACCATCAATCTGTATATCGCCTTTAATGTTCAACAAGCGTAAAAATGCTGACAACAGAGTACTTTTCCCTGAGCCAGTTCTTCCTAAGAGGCCCACCTAAGATGCAAAAGTGACGGAATTACTCCTGAGACAAGGAAAGCACACTCTGTATTCCACTCAGCAATGCTCTTCAATTAAAACCAGTAGGAGTGTTTCTCCTATGGCCCATCCATCTAAAACTTTTACATGCTCCCAATTCTCATCATTAGGAATACAGGGAGGAGAAATCTGGAACAGAAATCAGAAACTGGTCATAAGGGATCCTATTCCTGATGCTGGCTTCACTGACCACTAATAAGGAAAATGTGAAAAGAACCTTGTTTGCATTAAGGAAAGGTGAAGAGAGCATTTCTTGATTTGTATCAGCTATACAAATGGGCACAAGCTAAAATCATGGGCCTACAGCTTGATGGATTGTTGGACATGACACAAAATTGAAAACTGACCCCAAATATGCCTAACATTTAGTTAATGCCCCTAGACTAGGGAGTGTGGCTCATTAGTGGAGCCACACCTGTCTAGCATGTACAAGGGTCCTGGGTTTGGGACGAAGCATTAAGAAGGTGAAGAAAGATTCAGACCCTAAGAAATTAACAATGTCAAGTTCAGGCCTGATGTTAAAATAAGAATATTTTCAGGAAAGTATATAATTTATAAAATGCAGGTTGGTCTGAGGTTTCACTATGGTTTAGCTCTTTGGCAATATCCAAATCAAGGGCTAATATATGACCCCACTGGCAAGAAGGGAACTTAAGCAAAAAAGGAACTATTATTAAAGAAACTGCTCTCTCTATCCAAAGGCCAGGACTACAAAAGAGCACAGCATTGGATCGAGGGTGCCTCCAATTACACGAGGAGATCAGCAGGCTAGGCAGCCCTCAAGGCTCACACACTTTGTTCTGATTTCTGATATAAGCTTGGTTCCCTGAGAACATTAACCAACCACAGGGGGAAAAAAAAACCCTGCTGGACCTCTGCAGCACTTAAGATGTTTTTTATCCTGTTCACATCACCCTTTGATTTCTTATAATTTGACCTCCTTGGAGAGAAAGTATCATTTAGAAAGGCGTTCTTTACATAAATTCACTGCAAATTAGTATTTAAAATATATTATAAAATGAATTTCTAAATATTTGCATATTCTATACTGATTTTGTCATAGGCTGGTAATAACTTATAAACCCAAACCATGGCATGGGGCACAATAAATGAAAATAATAAGAGTAACTTACTGGGTATTATTATTAACTTGGTAATAATAGAGGCCTTCCTTTATGTTCAGCTAGTAAAGAATAATGGCAATAATAATGCCTTCCTAAGCAATGGAAATAATGACTCTACAAGGTTTACAAGTTTTCATGAATTTTTTTCCTTGGGAAAATATGATCAAGCAAATATCATGCAGAAGTTGGTAATTATTTTCTCTATTTCTTATGTTTATATAGTAAATATAAATTCAACAAATGTTGCATAATTTACCTGTTTTTGATTTTCTCCATCTAGGATAATGTGGGCTTACACAAGATCCTCAATGGATAGTTACTAGGACTGACTGAGGGATGAGAGACTGGAAGATGAAAGGATGGGAAAATGGATGGATGGAAGAACGGATGCCTAATGGACCAATATGCACTTGGCTTACAAAAGGTGCTAAATAAATACTAGGATTAACTGAAAGACAGTCAGATAGATGAGCCAATGAATGAGCATATCTTATTTATTTGATATTGCAAATGAGTAATAGACTTATTTAACTTTGTTCAATTACTAGATCTTAATTTTAAAACTTTAAGGACTTCCATGTTCACATTACCATTTCTGCACTAGCCTGTGTTGAACATGTGTGTATTCACCACATGTCATAATTTTTCCATTAGACAAGAAATCAGAATATATCAGTGCAGGTAATGTATAGGAGAACAAAAACAGATAAAGGTGATATCTAAGGTCATAGAAAGGATATTTGGCAGAAAGAGCCTTAAATACAAATCCCCTGTAGGGTAAATGACCATGCTGCGTTTCTTCCAGAAGGAAGTACTGAAATATTGAGAGAAGTCAGTTCTTATGTTGGGATAATACTGGGCTGAGAGGCAATCAATAAATATTTCGTTTGGCTTCAAACCCTCCAGCTATTGCTCTGGCTTCCTCACATCAAAGTGATGACATGGATTATGTCTGACCAGTTTTTCAACAGCAAGGAGCCTCATTGGTTTGTACCCTAACAAAGTCGTCTTGTTGAATAATTGTCACATAATAATTATCTTCTTATTTGAAAGAGTACTTCCTGCAAATAAGCTCTTAAGACATATTCTAAGTCCATGCTTTTTAGTAACGTCAATGCACCTCATCTCTGGAAATTTTGGATCAGGATCAATCAAACTATGATGTAGAGAACTAAGCAGTGCTGAGCTGAGCGCAAGCAGGAGCTGCACTGCGTTGTGAGCACCTGCCCTGCATGCCCTGCACTTCAGCAGGCAGCAGAGGGAAATGCACTGGAGTTAACGCATTTCCTTGTGATCTACAAAAACCAAGAGAGTCAAATGAAATGCGGATTCATGGGGTGATTATAACTGAGACAAGTTTAGTATCAGTAAGACACAAGGGCTACTCAAATTATTAAATGATTCAGCAGCCTCACTCCAGATTTTATAAAGACAGAATGAGGTAAATCTTTAACAAATCAAACATATATTTAGGTGTGTTGATTTGATCAGGACACTGATATTCTAAAGAACCATTTTTTGCACGTAGTATTTTGAATAGATTACAAATGGAGAAAGCAGCTAAAGTCACTAAAATAGAACCTAAAGGAATAGACACTTAAGAATAATTAAATATTGGTCTGACAGTGGTGGCGCACGCCTTTAATCCCAGCACTGGGGAGGCAGAGGCAGGTAGATCTCTGTGAGTTCGAGGCCAGCCTGGTCTAAAAGAGCTAGTACCAGGATAGGCCCCAAAACTACAGAGAAACTCTCAAAAAACAAACAAACAATCCAAAAAAGAATGATTAAATAGCTAATTATAGGACTATCCAGTACTATGATATATGCAATGTGCTAGCTGAAGAATTTGGTAAGTATAGATTTATCAAGATAGATTTAACTCCCAATTAAAATCTCTGTCTTTATTTTGCGGAAATATAGGGGTCCCATGTGAAATACTGTAGGAGGGAGGGAGGGAGAGAGAGAGAGAGAGAGAGAGAGAGAGAGAGAGAGAGAGAGAGAGAGAGAGAGAGAGAGAGAGAAGAGTCTGATTTTTGAATCTACTTCAGAAAAGTGATCTGGCTCCAAAATTTTTAGATTAAAAAAATCAAATGCTTTTAAGTTTGAGATTAAAAAGGGAAAAAGATTTCTGTGTTTGTATGTCTGTTGTTGGAGACTGAAGGCAGGGTGTTAGGTGGAGGGTAAGCAGTCTACCAACTAACCTATATACCAAGTCTCAAAATGGATTTGGGAGGAATACACTGTGGTAGTTGTTATATTCTTCATGCATTGAAAATGAAACAACAAAAAATAAATTTTGTGAGATATTTGATTAGGAAACAGTAAAACAGGGCATTTTCTCCTGAAGTAACTTTAATATACAAAGTGTTTAAAAACAAAGATTGAATAATTTTTCTATACAAAATATTAATTTTTCACATATCTAAGAATACTAAATTCATTAAAAATTAAAGGATTAATATTTAAACTATGAATTTTCAACTGCCTTTTAAATAATTTGCCTAAAATGTTATACAATATCAAAAATATTCAAATATATTTGAATTTATTCTTTAATTCCATTCAGCAAATGAGAAATATGCTTGAAGCACTTCATTATAATGTAAAGGCAAGGTTGTGGAATTGGCAATCTGAAGATATCTGTTCTAAGAAAGAATCTGACCTACTATTTAGACTAAGTCATTCATTCATTCATTCATTCATTCATATTCATGTGGAGCTTGGAAATACACTTCTATTTTATTTTTTGGTTTTGTAAGACAGCATGTCTCTGTGTAACAGCCTTTACTGTCTTGGAACTCACTTTGTAGACCAGGCTGGCATTGAACTCACAAAGATCCACCTGCCTCTGCCTACAGAGTGCTGTGATTAAAGGCTGCGTGCCACAACTGGTGGGCAAGTCAGTACATCTTAAGCAAAAAGACTGAGCAACAAATTTTCTGTCAGAGAGGTAGCACCACAGAGGAAAGGACTGTGCCCCTAGAACTGGGGAGAAAGACAAAGAGATGCAGTCACTACTTACCAGGCAGAAACCAGAAAGCAGAAACCTTGAGGGAGCCAGTACCAGGAGTCTACTGAAAAATGGCACAGGCTCTTTGAGGACTATGGGGAGGGAAACAATCTCCAGCACCCTCCAGTGACCTCTCTGGAAGACTAGAGGAAGTTCCCTTAGGTTTTAAGCAACCTCAGGAGAGAGTGAGCATTCTGAGACAGGCCAGAACACTGTCTCCCACTTCAGACCTGCTCTTGAGTGACACTTACTTTATCATGTCTACTTACTGGAAACTCTCCAGAACCCAGCCTGCCTTTAGGAAATAGAAATATTTAGTGCCACTCTAACAAGTCTGTATTGTCTAAAGGGGTGAACAAGTTGGTGGCACTTAGGAATTTACAGCTGAAGGCATAACTTCTCTAACTTACTAAGACTTAATCACAGGGCTACAGAACTCTACACCCAGTCTCGGCCTGCCTATTATTACAGTCCCTTTTCCCAAGCACATCATATATGTTAGCTTGCAAGAAAACAATTACTAAACAAGCTAAAAAGGAAAAAAGTAAATAATAAGCAATATTAGGATAGAAGAAAGTCAGATGTGACAAAGACTCTGTAAGTAATAGACTTGGAATGTAAACCAACAATAATTAATGTGACAAGGGTTTAATAATGTGGTGTTTGCGTTTGGATATAGAAACAGATCATGGGTAAGCACAAAGGGGTCAGTCTAAAACAGGATCAAAAGAATTCTAAAACTACAGCAAGATAATTTACCCCAACAATGAGAAGAATGCCTTGACAAGCTCATCAGTAGTTTAGACATGTCTGAGGAAGAACCCCTGAGCTTGAGGCTATGTCAACATCAAAAATGCCTCAGGAAAAAAATAACAGGGTAGCCAAGAAACAAGACACAGCTAGAAAAAAAATGTAACATGTATACAATGTAAATACAAAACCAAAGGCAAAAAAGAAGGAGAAAAGGAGGCTAGAAATAAAGGGTTGAGGGGAATACTTCAAACAATAGCTACCAAGATTCACCCCCTCAAAATTAGTGTCATACACTCAACACACATACAGAGGAAACATGCAGAATGTTGCTTAAAGTAAAAGAACCATACCACAGCAATCATCTTGAAACACAAATTATGAAAGAAAACATCTTGAATAAAGCCCAAAGGAAAAAAATTCATTACTTATAAAAAAATAGGTAAGAATTAGTTAGAACTTTGTGGACAACATAAAATCAGTAAAAGAATCAGGAAATAGAAGCAAAACAAAACCCACCAAAGTAGGATTGTGTAGTTTATGAAGGTGTCTTTCAAAAGTAAAGGTGAGGAAAGAAGCTTCAAACAGACTGTGTGCCTCAACAGACTTATCTTGAAAGATATGCTAAGAGAAGTTCTTCAGAGAAAAGGAAAGACACAGCTCAGATCTACAAAAAGCAAGCACTTTAGAAATTAAATGAGGCAGCAGCAAAATGAGAACTCTTACTTTTCTTATTCTTAAAGGGTCTAAAAGAAAAGGTCATTAAAAAATTTAACATGTATTTGCTCACTTACAATATGTAAATAATAAAATGAAGCATAGGGAGGATGTAAAACAAAGGAGGGAGAAATCGGGATAATAATGTACTGATGCTACTTATTCTATAACGCTTTTATTTTTAAATGTACCTGGATTCATTGTAAACTGTCAACTCTAGAGAAAACTGAAAATTCACAATAGTAGAATTACCATGGTAAGAAAAGAGAAAGACTTGGAATCATAAAATACTCACAACAAAAGAAAGGAAAGGATTGAAACTAAAAAATAGGGCTGAAGAGCAAGAGTAGGGAATGAAAAGCAGGAAGGAGCTGTAAGTACAACTGCGCATGTGCCAGCCACCCTAGCTGTGCAGGTTCTAAATGAATCACTTGAAAATCAGAGGCTAACAGGCTAGCCCAAAGAACTAGGGCACACCTACACATTGTCCACAAGCAAGTCGTTTAAAGTTTCATCTAAGTTAATGAAGGCATGAATAAAGTCACACTGTGCTGGTTAATCTATTTGTTGCTACTATTTATAGCGATGCTTGTATTTCTGGCACACGCTGTGTTTAATGGCATTGACAGAAGGAAAAATCTGAATAATTACATGTCTTGCAAGAACAGTCATGTGCAAGCATAGTCACATTTATAATAAACCTATTGCATAGATCCAGGACTCCAATTTAAATTTCATGTGAAACATAATGAAGTCCCACAGTAACACTTCAACTATGTATATAGAAGACTGACTCTATAATTACGTTAGTAATGGGATTTACTAACATTGCAGTGGCTACTGGGACTTACTGAACATATTGAAACTCACTAAAAAAGCAAGTAATGTTGAAATCTCACCCTCAGGCCAGGGCTTATTGAAAAGGAAACGTTCTCTAATATGGGATTCCCATCATCCCCATATTTCACAGCGAGGTCTTTGACAATCATTTCTCCCCTGGAGGGCCAGATGTCAGTTTTCTTCACATGTTCATTTTCAATAACTAAAACCTTAGAGGGGTCTTCATGAGGTAGTCCTTTCATTATCTTGGTACACCCACTTTCTTCTTTTGGTATATCAATAAACTTAAAGACTCTGCTCACAGATCGCATCTGAAATGAAAATAACAATATTTTTGTTTGCTTGAGAACTGTAGACAGTGCCATAATTAGTTTGATGTGGCCTAAAAAAATAACTTGTAGATTATGATGGTAGCTACCAGTCACTTGATTATTTGTCAGGGTTTTCAGTGAAGTAACAGGAAATAATTAGATATAATTAAAAGCTTAACCCGAGCATCAACTAAGACTTATATAATTGGGTTCTGTAGAGACCTGTTTATTTTTGTGATTGCTTAAATCTCAGTTACACAGTTCACACACAAATAACCAAAATATTCTCAAGAATATAGATGATGTCAAAGAGAAGTATTCCCCATTAGGACAGTACTGTTCAACACTGTACACTCAGTATGCTGCAATAAAATGTAGAACACTTCTCAATCACTGCAGAGAGTTCTCTTACTCTACCTAAATTCTATATGTCAACTCAGTTCTGAGGAAGCTCCTGAGGCTTAGTCAACTTTTAATGAGTTCACAATGCTCAAATATAAGTGATTACACAGATAAGAAGTTAAAAATTTATACCGTTAATAAGTTACCTAAAAATAAATTTCCATCATTAGCAAAATGTGGCTATATATAAAGGTTATATTTTCAAGTAAATATGCATCTATGTTTATAGTGTGGCTTCTTCTTCCTGCTATACATGATTATTCCATCCCCTTGGAGTAGAGATATCCTTATGTCTGGTGTCCATGTGATAAAATAAGCAGAATAATATATACTAATAGCTAGGTCTATGGTAATAGTGATAGAGCTTTTGATACCTTCTAAAAGGAAGGAGAGGAGAGTCTCAGACCCTCTCCTTAGATCCTAACCATCAATTCCTCTTGTTTTGTCTCCAAGGCAGTTTGAATGTAACTGGTCCCCAGAAGCTCATAGGGAGTGGCACTACTAAGAGGTGTGGCCTTGTTAAAGTTGGTGTGGCCTTGTTGGAGGAAGTGTGTCACCATGGGGGCAGGCTTTGAAGTCTCATATGCTCAAGCTATGCCTAGTTCAGTCCACTTCCTGTTACATGCGGATCAAGATGTATAACTCTCAGCTCCTTCTCCAGCACCATGTATGCCTGCACAGTACCATGTCCTGCCATGATTACAATAGACTAAAACTCTGGAACTATAAGCCACCCCAATTAAATGTTTTCATTTATAAGAGTTGCTGTGGTCATGGTGTCTCTTAATACCATATAAACCCTAATCAAAACACCTTCCCTTTTCAGCTGCAAGTGATCTTTGGAGACCCTAGAGTGTGCAGGAAGAAAGGAAATGGGATGTTAAGAGGAGAATTTGTTAGGGCAGCTTCCATGAGGTCATAAACTATGATGGATTTGAAATTTGTGGTAATGAAAATGTTTTACATTCACCAATGGTTAAGTAACCTGTCATCCATGCTTACTATAAACTCATAGATCACTTTTTTGATGAAATTCTTAGTGTTATCTGTCTTCAGTATCTGGTTGGGAATGAAAAGATGATTGTTCACATTTCCTCAAGAAAAGTTAATACAACAATATGACTTATAAATCCTTCCCTACAATATCAGATAAAATATATATTTAATGCACACAGAAATGAATTTGGATACATTTAAGGGTAGTCATTTTTAAACAAAAAGTCTGCTCTAAATAATTATAATTACATTTTACTCCATACTTTCAAAACACACAGACATGCAATAGATACTAACTATTTGAATGATGGTATTTGGTACGATTTGAATGAAGACATGAATGAGAAAATACATACAAATAAATAAACATCTAAATTTTGGTAGTTTTGAAAGGTAATATGCATTTCTTTGGTGAAAGTACTGTAACTTACATTCTCCATCAGTGACATGTACTATGAAGGACAAATCTAGAGCATCAAACATTAAATATTAAATGGGACATATTTATCACGTGTTAAAAGTGAAAGCGTGAAGCTTGTTTCTGAATTTAGATACTTAAAATTAGCACCAAGTCTGACTATTCTCTAACCAAAAACATTTTATTTCTTAACAGTGGGAGGTCTCCATAGTGTATCTGAGAAGATTTCTCAAAGTCAAACAGAGTAGCAAGTGTAGGTACTTTCAGCACTCTCTGTTTTATAACTACTGGAAAGCTGTTGTGGAACAGGTTAGTCACTAACCAGTTCCTTGAACCACTGGATTGTTAGCATGTTGACTGCCTCTAAGAGGAGAAGTCACATCGGAACCAAAGGAGAGAATTCAATGACAGTCTTTCAAGTTGCAAAAACTAGCTTTTCAAAGTCAAGACATAGTGACAGTTTGACATTTTCAGTCATATGAACACAGGCTTTTAAGATTTCAAAGGCCAAGGCCCAAGTAAGACATAATACTGTAGGCATTCATAGCTTCCAAGAAACTGATCATTTGAGTTAGGCTCTGGTGTCAGTCTAGGCAAGAAAGCATGACTTCAAATCTTATAAAATGAAAATAGTTAGCCTTTTTTTTTTTTTTTTTTTTGAGACAGGGTTTATCTGTGGCTTTGGAGCCTGTCCTGGAACTAGCTCTGTAGACCAGGCTGGTCTCGAACTCACAGAGATCCGCCTGCCTCTGCCTCCTGAGTGCTGGGATTAAAGGCGTGCGCCACCACCGCCCAGTGAAAATAGTTAGCCTTAAACACTGAAGACATAGTGTTTTTACAAAGATGTGGCCAAAGATGAACTTAGCATGGCTGGGAAACAGTCTTCTCACACCATAATATGAAGCAAAAACAGGTTGCCCACAATAAGGACAACTTGAAAGCCTGAAACACTATGACATTACCCTAAACAGGTGTCCTGTCTTGTAACCAAACTTCAGTATCCTAAGGGGCCTTGAAGAAATCAAAAATAGTTCAGCATAGGAGAGATGACAGAACAACAGGACAAAGTCTCCGAGACAATTCTTCTAGACAAGATAGGAACGTTAGTGAATCAGAGACAGAAAGTCCAAAAGGAGCTGAACTCTAGTTGGAACCTGGCTAGATCTTTCCTCCACTTAGCAATATAGCAAAGAACTTTATCTATAGCAAAGCTGAAGCCATATTTATTGTACACTTGCTTTCACTGTCAAAAATTCATATCCTCTATAAAAATGGATCTCAGGTTTGTGGAAAGCATGAGCAATTTTTTTACATCTTTCTTAAGAAAAAGAATTCAAATTATTCACGTCAAATTTAATATATATCTGTTAATGTTAAACCGAAAAGTGAGGGAGCCCATCCTTTCTGGTAACAGGACTTTTAGGTAGCAGTGTCCTAAACTGAGAAGACTAGAGGTATCCCTGCCATGCTAGTCATGCTAATGACCCTCTCACTATCTGAAAATCGATCCAACTTATGCCTCTCTTGAACACACTTGGTATTTATGAATTGGATTGCAAATGTCCCTCAAAGTTAGTCCTGGTCCCAAGATGATAGAGTTTGGGGGACACAGTAGACATACTGAGAGGTAAAGCATAATCGGGAGAAGTAGGGCCCTGTGGGTTTGTCATTGAGGGTATATCTCCCATCCTAATTCTCTACCCCCACCCACAACTTCCTGGCTTCCATGAGGTAAGCAGTCTTCTCTTCCATATATTCTTCTTGCCAGGATACTCTGCCTCACCAAAGGCCTAAAGAAGAGGCAAATAAAAACTGTACCAAAATCTTCATCTTTCTGTGCTCTTTGTATAAGGGATTGGGCATAGTAACAGAAACAAGACTAACTCCAGGGCCTATGAAAAGGTTTACGCAAGTGAGAAGACCTGAAACTCCTGGTCTGGTGATTAACCCATTCTATCTGTTTTAGTAACTGTTCACCGTGTTTCTTGTTGTACTCAAAGGAATATTCAGATCACCTCATGTTTAACACCATGAAGTCATTAAATCTCTGTTCCTAACGAATGAAGCCACTGTTTTCTCTCCTCTTCAGTGATAATGGTGGTGCTGTGAGGATGTCAAGGTATATCTTGAAGCCTGGGAATTTATAGCTCACCCTCTCAGTTTGAGGATGTACATTGCTGATTGGATTAGACAGAAGTTACAACATACCAGACTAGTTCTAGTCTCACCTTTTTGCTTTCATGGAACTTTTAGAACTCATGTAATCCTTTTGAAAAGAATGTTCATGTGCTACATAAGAAGCATGGCATCACAGTGCTGGAAGGAACTCAGAGTCGGCACTTATCATAACAGCTGTGCACTGACATACTCCCCAGTCTAAGCTGATGTTTCCTGTACATAGAAGGGTTATGAGGGAAGTAGTATGAGCAGCCCTGCCCAGGAAGGGAAGGTCTTTCTGTGGCTATAGTGAAATAACAATGAAGTTAGACAAGGGATTAGCACCTTTTTCTTATATTCTGAAGGTAAAAGACATCATGAGAGCCAGGTGCTAAAACAATGAAACTATTATTTATTTATGGAGAGAAAAACTTATATAACATAAATTCTATATGATTCTATAAAATTGGAATGTAGCCATGATGAAGTGAGAATTTTGCTTGAACTTTGTGTGCTTCTAACTGTTGATACATTACTTAACTTCATTAGGAGCCAAAACTTTCTACTGAGTATCTTGAGGAGAAGTTGATTCATAAAACTGAATGTCATTATCTTTATAAGAATGTCTAAAGGTCCTAATCTAAGCATCAGGAAATAATGATAAAGGCAATAACAAAAAGTAATTCAATAACTTCCTCTCAGTATTACTTTAAAAGGGAAGCATTTCCGTCAACATGATAATAACTCTAGATTTTCCTGTTCATCTTTGTTGCTAATTATAGTGATAATCATAGTCTTTTTAGGAATCCAGAAATAAGTGATATAAATATTTGCTTTATTTACATTAGCTGTTTAGAAGCCAGGACAACAAAATTATGTTTCAATGACCAAACACCCCAAAGCCATGGCAACAAGAATATTACTTTTCATGCTTGAAATGTTTGCCAATACTAAATAAAAATGTCATAATTGAATTTAGAAAAATTTTGAGGAGAATGGAGTTATGTCTGAGTGATAAAGAGCACTG